GGACACGAGCATGCTCACTAAAACCAGTAGCTCCAGTTTGATCCTCAACCGAAAAACAGGGCACGGCTGATATTGATCCAAATAGGCAACAGGGAAGCTGGTACGCCTCACTTGTTAGATCAGTCGCTCCGTCTCAGCTCCCACCGCCACGCGTCCAGGCCAGCAAGTCCACCCCAGGCGCTCCGTCCAAACATGCTGCTTTCGATTAAGTGACAGAGGCTGCCATTCAATTATAAAACTATTATTGAAATGTTTCAGCTAGGGTGAAACTTGAATGGCTGACTTATTTTACGTAAATAAAAACTGTTTTCTATGTTTCCACATCTAATATAGAATGCATAATAGGTTTGGGCGATGTTGGCAACAAATTATTCATGATTGATTGTGGCATTTAGCTTGTAAGAATTAATTTGGTGATTAATAGATGACAATTGCATGTTTATGAATCAGTTGCCTTGTGTTCTACAATTATACTTACAAATCATCAGTCAAACTAACGTCTTCATGTTATAGGTCAAAATAGAAACTGTGAATTGAAACCCACTTTTTCCACGATGCCAGCACTCACTGCGGGTTATCTCCCTCCAGCTCTTACTTTGCTGTAAGGGACAGGTTGCCTGAGAGCATTGTGGATTCTCTGCTGAGTAAATGTGCTCCCATCATTAGCTGGAGGAGAGTTTGTTGTAGCTGACGTAGCATCGGTCAGTGTTTTCTGTCTTTCCTCATACTCCGGTTTATGGCGGTGTTTGTTTCACATGATTAAGCAAGTTTGTAGTGTTGGCATTAGCTACTTCACACCGCCCTCAGCTGTTGCTGTTTATACAGGCTTACATGTGTGTTTGGGGTGTTGGACACAGAAATACATCATCACACGGCACTAGAGATCGACCAGTAGGTTTTTAAAGGCCGATACCGATTATTGTGACATCAGTCTAACCCAGTGGTGTCCAAAGTCAGTCCTCGAGGGCCGGTATCCTGCATGTTTTAGAAGCTGCTCTGGTTCAACACAGCTGAACCTGAGCAGTGCCTAATTAATGTGCCTCTGCAGACCTTGCTGACATACTGAGGRGGTCTACTAATTAAGCACTACTTAAGTTCAGCTGTGTTGAACCAGAGCATCACCTAAAACATGCAGGACACCAGCCCTCGAGAAGTGACTTTAGACACCACAGTTCTAACCGATATGCCGACACGTGCAGCCKATTTTTTTTGGCAGATTCTTGAAGCCGATACTGCTTTTTCTTCCTCCATTAACATGATAGAAGTAAGAATGATAACAAATGTTACACAGGTCTCAATTTAAACAAAAAAAGAAACGCTTATTAACTGAACCTTGTCTGTTGTAGGCTGAGTGAAGTGCCGCCACACAAAATTTCTTTTTTCAGAAAAAAAATAAATTGTATTAAAGATTTATTTTATCTAGTAGTACTACATTATCCGTTTTTATTTATATATTAAACATAGTAT